TTTATCCTTTTTTGTCAAAAAATGTCTGAACATTTGGCTCTCAGATCAAATGATGAATACATTATTACTTATCAGGAAATTAAAGAGATCAATTTGTCTGCACTGCATTGTTGGATACAGTATTCTGCACAGCAATCTCTTTATTGCACATTTTGAAAAAAGTAGTAGGTCATGCAGTTCATTACTCATGCAAGTAATTTAGCTTTTTGGTAAGAGGAGTACAGAAGTATGCTATTTTGACAGCCTGTATGTTATGTTTGTGGATGGAGTCTATAGGTTATGCGGTCTGTTGGTAGTGTGTGGGTGTTTGCTGTTTCTGTCTTAGCGATATTGTGATATTTCAGAAAAGTCAATAAGGCGTGGAGACTAGAATGAACCCCACGGGCAAGTCAGTATTCCAAGAAATGGAGCTAATTTCTTCCTGCAGTTCGAATCACTTTAGCAGTCCGACTAATGAGGATAATGAGCTCTCACTGCAGTTGTGGCTCCTAGCTGGGCTGCATCCATGCACATTTGCCTGGAGACACTCATAAAGACATTATGTATCAATGTTTGCAAAATCTCATATATAATGTTATTTAAAAGAACACTAAGCGCTTTAATTAAAAGGACTTTGTAATTACAGCAACATATTTACAGCCTATTTAAGTCCGTTGCTTACATTACGAAATAGAACCTTTTCATAAAAATGCCTTTGAAATGATTTGGCAACATCTTGACAAGCTTATTTTCTTCATTTTTTAAAATTTTTATTCAGAAGTATTACTTCTGTGTGTCTGAATATTATTGAAGTATTTTCTGTGCAAAGATTTTATACTTTTACGCATTATAAAATGTATATAAAATGCTTTATAGTTTAGAATTTATTTTTGTTTTCTATTTTATTTGACATTTGTTTTTTATTTTAGTTTATCATTAGTTTTTACACCGTAATCTGTTTTAGTTTTGTTTTCTTTTCAGTTTTCTAGTTTTTGTATATTTGTTTATTTTTTTGGAATATAAAAATTTTGTGGTTTTTAAATTTTTTTATGTAGTTTTTACTTCTCTTTTATTTGTCAGTTAATTTTAGTTCAGTTATAGTTAGTTATGCTATAATCAGTTTTAGTTTTCTAGATCCGGTATATTTCTTTTATTTGTGTGAATATTTTTGCACCATTTTTTGCGTAAATGTTTTATGCTTATATTTTATGTTTTCATATAAAATATATTATAGTTTTGAATTTAGTTTTTATTTGTCAATTCGTTTTTATAGTTTATTTTACAGTTCGTTTTATGCTATAACCTGTTTATAATCTGATGCAGTTTTTTAAATAAATGTTTTATACTTATATTTTTGTTCTAATATAAAGCTTTTTATAGTTTGGAATTTAGTTTTTGAATTGAATTTTATTTGTCAATTTTTTTTATTTAGTTTAATTATTGTTACATTATCGTTACGTCTATCGTTATGTTTACACTATAATCCAGTTTCCTAGATTCTGCATACTGTATTTAGTTTTTATTTTAATAGTAAACAACATTTATTTTAACATTTTTTTTTTATTATTAATTTGTGATTTTTATTTTACTTAATTTTGGAGTCATGAAAATGTATTTTAGCTTAGTTTTAGTTTTTCCCATTTATGTTAGCACAGCTCTGAAAGTGCAGCAGTAGTTGAATGATGTTTGGACTAGGAATGATCCATAATGAATCAACCACAATGGACTGAAAATGAGGAAACATGATGATGGTACAGGTAGATGAACACAAAAATGCTCAGGGGAAATATGTTCAAATGAGTTTATTGATCAATGAAATGGATCGTCAACAGATACATCACAAATACAGGGATACAGACAGAATGAAAAAGTATAAACGTTTTTCAGACTTCGTTTGCTTCCTTCATTTGGAATCGTTTAACATAATCAGGATGGCAAGACGATACACATGACAATGAGGATGACTTGAGATTAGCAAAGATGCTAATGAGTTGGAGGAACTGATACGTTAGTCTGGAGAATAAATGTTGCAAAGCAAACAGAAAACCACATCTTTGCTAAAGTTACAGAAACTGTAAACATGAATCAGGGTCTAGCACCAACATGTAGCCGATGGGCGGCTCGACCTTTGACACCTGACAGAACACAGGAAATATACGCGAGCCTTTAACACGCTAAACTACGAATCCATGCACCATCACGACTAGTGCTACATGAGAGTGAATACGTTACTCCTGCACGGACCATCATCAAATCAAGTGTAAATCCATAATGTCTAAAATAATAACAGCACCAAAAGATTACAGGATGACGCTCACCAGTGTAGGTCCAGTTAGCACCACAAGTTCTGTCAGTTAGACAGAAAACGTTCAGAGAGAGACCAGACTCACTGTTCTTCCACCAAACACACAACGACAGATTAGCTTCTTAGAGACATTTGTTCTCACAGCATGATCAACTAGTCGACTACACATCCAAAAATGAGTTCAAATAGTAAGATTGAGAGACACAACTTCTTAGTGAACATTTTTAGAACACTGAGTTTTAGCACGATCATTTTAATTTAAATTTTCAGCATGATAAAATGCTCTCTCTGAGGAGTTGCATCTTTAATCGCATTTATTTCACCACTGATTCCATCGAAAAACTAATTCACCACTTTTAAGAAAATTAGTCAGGTGATTGTATTATTTTACACTACCATTCAAAAGTTTGTTTACACCACTGAATAAAAAAAAAAAAATCAAATAAAAAATGTCATTTGAAACTGTTTATCTCACAATTGACTTTTTCTCAATTCGGAGTTTATATATCATAATTTGGACTGTTTCTTGCAATTTTGAGGAAAAAGTCTAAATTGTGAAATATAAACTTGGAATTCCAAAATTTCTCTCTCAATTTTGAGTTTATATCTCACAATTCCGTTTTTTGTTTTGCACCGCAGAATAAATAAAAGTAATTGCAACTTTTTATCTCACAATTTCTTGCAATTCTGAGTTTGTCTCAGAATAAAAATAAAAAGTTGCAATTATCTTTTTATTTATTTATTTATTTTTATTCTGTGGCTTCCCTATTAATTTGATCAAAAGTGACAGTAAAGACATTTATAATGTCACACAAGTTTTCTGTTTCAAATAGATGTTCTTTTGAATTTCCTTTTCATTGAAGTATTCTGAAAAAATTCTCACCATTGCCACAAAATTATTTTAAGCAGCACAATGGTTTTCAGCATTGATAATAATAAGAAATGTTTCTTCAGCATCAAATCAGCATATTAGAATGATTTCTGAAGGATCATGTGACACTGAAGACTGGAGTAATGATGCTGAAAATTCACCTTTGCATAACCGGAATAAATTACATTTTAATATATATTTAAATAGAAATTATTTTAACAAATAATTACAAATCTTAAAATGTAATAATATTTCAAAATACAGTTTTTACTGTATTTTTTTATCATATAAATGCAGCCTTGGTGATAAACATTACAAAAAAAATCTTATCAACCCAAGACTTTTGAACGGTAGTGTACATGCAGTCAGACATTTTCGGCCTTACGTTTGATCCTAACTAGTCGACTAGTCATTCAGACGACCCACCGAGTACTTGAATTTGAAAATATGTAGTTTTGCACATCCCTATTAGCAACATTGCTGGTCGGTTTAGAGTGATTAACGTTTGAAACAGTCACAGACAGTAATTCGGATCATTTAACGCTTTAATCTCTCATCTCAGCCGTTATGCTCGCAGTAACCATGGTCGCAGTCATTTTGCTGAGCTAGATTTGAATTGGAACATAGATGGCAATTGGATGCCCAACCTGACCTCATCCGCCATGCCAGCGCTCCGACAGCCAATCAGAATGAGCATTGGCCCCGGCTGTCTCTGTTTACTTTTGCACTTGGCGAGTTCTGAATGCCTCTGCCCAACGCCATCTCATATGTTATGCTCTGATTCTTATCATACTAGCTAAATATAACCACAGGATACACACCACCTTTATGATACTCGATTTTCTGTATTATTTAATGATTGCCGTTTCATCTCATCTGTTTAAAGCTGACTTTTGTTTGATCTGCTGGGATTCTGGGAAACGTTCAGATACACTCATGCGAATGCGTACATACACACACAGTGAGAAAGAGAGAGGACAGAACCCTATGGTACATTAGAGAGGAAGACTATGGTACTTTTGAAATATACCATGGTACTGGAATTCATGTGTCATTGTATTTACATGGTACTTCATGGTATTTCCAAGAACATGGTACATATTCTTAATACAATGGTACATAATTAGAATACCAAGGTATTGCCATGATAAAATGTCCAAAATACCATGGTACAATGTTCAATGCCATGGTAGTACCATGTCCAGAATAGTAAATGCCATAGTAATATCATGGTACCATGTTCAAAATACCAGTCCCATGGTAAAATGATCAAATTACCATAGAAGTATCATGGTATCATGATCAAACGGCATGGTAAAATGTCCAAAATACCATGGTACCATGTTCAATACCATGGTAGTAACATGGTAAAATTTCTAATATACCATAGTAGTTTTCATAGTACCATGGTGTCATGTTCAAAATACCACAGTAGTATCATGGTACCATGTTCAAATGTCATGGTAATTTGTCCAAAATACCATATTACCATGGTTCCATGTTCAAAACACCATGGTAATACCATGGTAAAATGTCCAAAATACTATAGTAGTATCATAGTACCATGTTCAAATACCATTGTAGTACTATGATAAATATGTCCAAAATACCATGGTACATGGTACATTTTTGTAAGTAAAAGAAAGAAAGAAAAGTACTGCAGCAGTATCATGGTAATACCATAGTGTTTTGATATATTCTGTGGTACTACTAAATGATTACCACACTAAAATACTATGGTATTACCATGGTATTTCTGTTAGTTGAAAGAGTAGATGTTTATATTTTCCCAGATTGAATATGCATGTATAGTAAATGTGAACAAAGCGCTAAAAGGCATTTTAATCATATACTGATTAATTTATTAAGTCTGTCAGGACGGTTCGTCCCAAACCGAGTCATGAAGTACATGAATTTGAAGAATGTCCCATTTTTTCCTTTTTTTCTTAAAACAATGAAAAAAAAATCTAGCATCAATACAGACACACATTCAAACACTGCTTGCCAAAAACACGCATATCGTTTCCTTCAGATCACGTACGTTTTTTTCTTCTTCTCGCATCTAAAGGAAACGTGCCGGATGACAGCTTAGCACTTTAAGTACCACTTTAAAGTTGAGGTTAAGACCATTTCGAATGCACCCAAAAAAAATAAAATTAAACAAACGTAAAAAAACGCTAATGCAAGCAAATAACTGTATGTTCAAACATCCGTTCGATGCAAAGGATTGATCTAGAGTCAGACTGCAAGACATGACCCAACTGAAAGTTCTGACTCCGTTAAAAAAATCGTCCGATCCTATTGCAGAAACTTCCGATCACAAGCAATGGTGAAACGTTACATGATATATCCTTGATTCTCTTCTCGGTTGATAATAAAGACACAGGACTGGATGTGAAGGCTTGCATACACTTTGAATCAAGCGCTGTCCTGAGTTGCTCCGGTGGTTCTGGTTCATACGTCAAGGTTCTAGGATCCCATCCAGACCTAAAGGCAGTCCGAAGGAGATGACATGCTCTGTCTTGAACAGCAACCTTTTGGAAAAAGGGAAAAAAAAAATTCTCAAATCTCTGTCCGTGTAAACACGACCAAACGAGTGAGCATAAAGCACGATATACGGTTAAGCACTTCCTTTGCTGTTGCAATTCTACCGTCGAACGGAAAAAAACACAATAAAGTATTCATTGTTGCAGTAGCTCGGTCTTCCCTCTGTTTTGACTGATATGTTAGGCAGAGGTTAAGGAGTCCCGCCCCGTTCCAGCGGCAGTGCAGCCCCTGGCGAAACTGAGGTCTCAAATCGATCTCAAAGGGTGCAAAGCAATATTGCACTGCTGTTCTGACAGGACAAACAAAGCGGTGCTCAAAAACAAACAAATAAACTAAAACAAAAGCAAACACAATCCATAATTAAGGCTATTAAAAATATTGCAGAATAATTTGGCCCCTGTTTTTGAGACAGACTGCCACAACAGTCAAAACTTTCCCCACTACATATCATAGCAAAATATTTAGAGCAGGGAGTGGAGAAAAAAAAAAAAAAATTGTAAAAAGAAGAAAAAAGATCCTCTTTGGAGTCTTTATTTGGTTTGGGATGCTTTAAAGGGAATCGTAAATATTTCTGTTCAAAAATAAATAGATTGGAGCCAAGCGAAAATTCGGAAAGTAAAAAAAAAAAAATCTGACTCCTGCGACATTTTCGTAAATTTGTTCAATTTTCAGCGTGCACTTGTAAAACCTAAAGGTATAGCAATCAGCGATTTCCACGTCAAACAGTGGCACTGGACGGTGCAATGCACCGTGGGATCCTTGCAATCCCGCAAGCCTCCTACAGCGGGTGCACCGGGGCCAATGGGACAAGAGAAGGGAGTTTTGGAGGGAAATGCACCCCTCGTCTCCTGGAGGGGGGAATCAAAGCAAAGGCCCTCGCTGTTCTCCTTGAGTGAGACGCAGGTCGAGAGCCAAAGTCAGCAAGTTTAGGGTGTTTACACCACCGTGTCTTGTGGCCGTGTGACTCACACCCACTCCTGCATGGAGCGTTTGCAGTACAGTATGTGTCGGGGCGTCCCCTTCCTCTTGAACTGAAAGACGGTGTAGATCAACACCAGCAGGCAGAGCGCCAGGACGCAGGGAATGACGATGGCGATGACTTTGACCGTGCTGGCTTCATTGTCCAGTTTAATCACAACGTCTTCGTCCTCTGTCGGCTGCATGTCGGGGTCAATGGGCGTGATGTCGCATCCCATGAAGTCTTTGAGGATGGAGCGAGGGTAGCCGGGCTCCACCCGCAGCCTGTGGTTGTTGAACTTCCAGTACTCTTTGTCCTTGTAGAAGTAAGTGAAACCTGCAAAGCATTGACACGGGAGACATTTGTAAGTTGTTTTTATATTTATATTGGATATTTAATTGTGCATGTTAGTTTCCACCTATTTTTACATTTTTAATTACATTTGCGGACATCAAACGCTCACTTAAATATAATCTTTAACAAATCTCAAAGTGAATATCTATTTTTCATACTGAACATTATAATATAGTGATGCCTAAATTCACTTGTAGCATTTTAATTAATTCAGGGCTATTAACTAAAACAAAATCTATAAACTTTATCTGACATATATAAAAACATATATTTTTTTTTTTGCAGCTATAGTAGTTGCCAAGGCAATAATTCTCAATTTAATTTAGTTTAACTTAATGTACTAAAATAATTTAAACTAAAATAAAAATGAATAAAAACTATGTAGACATATGTATAAAAAACTAATAAAAAAAAAATATATATTTCCTGTCACTCTACACTAAAGCTGGTGAATAAAGATTCTAAATCCTGGAAATAAAAATGTTCCAGACTGGAAGAGGGGCTCAGTGTGATCTAAAAAGTGTGATCTGAAAGGCTTATCGTAAGACCACGGGTTATCGTAACATCGATACCAGCATTAAAACTTGACTAGAGCGGAGGAAAAAAATGCTATCCTTTCCCATCTCCCCATGATCAGCTGGCCATGATGACACATAATTAGGGTCAATTTTTTTGACTCTGTCTCGCCCACAGAGGCCTTTTGGGTAACGTGCAGAGACAGGGCTGAAAGAAAGCCCACAATCACTATCAGAGTGTGGATAGCCCAACAATTTCCCTGGATTATCAATCCACCCTTCACGCTCAGATGAGCGCCTGTGTCCACGGGCAAACCTGGCAGCGGGGCTGGGTACAGATGGCATATGCGTGGCTGTCGACCTGCGCGCTTGCAGCTACGGACTGAACTCATGCAAGACGTCCCCACCCAGAGAGCTTCTGCCAGAGACATTCACACTCGTCCTGCACAACCTTTCAGAGCTGTGTTCTTGTGCAACTGATGAACGATTTAAACATTGACAGCCAATCAGAATCAATCCTGCTATAACGAGCTCGAGAATTTAAAGCGGCAGATGAGTGTGCACTTGGAATAAACAGACGATATCGTCCGCTGGTGTGGATGCTAATATAGTTATCGTTCTTGGTGTGAACGGGCCTTTAGTTGGCTTGAAATGAATGTTTTGTCACCATAAAAGTGGTCCATGTGATTTGTGCACAATATTTCAAGTTTTATCATGCATTAAATTTGAAAGCCAAAGCAGAAGGTAAGTTAAATATTGGTGTGTTCCTCACACACAGCTATTGTATGACTTCAAAAGACTTGGAATATAGTACAGGGTCATATAGATAATTTTTGCAGAGTTTTTATGTCATTCTTTCAGTTCAAAAGCATCCCGAATAGAAAAAAGCAAGTCTTAAGGGTTTGAAAGGACATGAGAGTGAGCAAATGATTAAAATTTTAACTGAATTTTCAAGTTTGGAATAAAAACCTTGTTAAAATGGCCAACAACTTAAACTAGATTGGAAGATTACATAATAAGAAATTACAGTAAATTATAAATGATATTACAAATATTACAGTACAGTATTTGTCAGTTTATGTTGGTTTAAAACATAATTTATATTCTGAATGAACAATGGACATAAAGAAAAAAAATAATAAAAAATTGTAATATATAAAAAAAAATATATATAATGTTAATATATATAAAAATTATCATAAAATTTATATATATATACATACCTATCTCCTTTGAAGAAGTAGGTCTTGGCCACGTCCTCCCACCAGACGGCTGTCTCTATACTCTGCGCTGGCATGCCGTTTCCAAACATTGAGATGTCCTGCGGGTAGCCAGGCTGTAGCATTGTGTCCTTGAACACCCAGAACTGCTTGCCTAGAAAAAGCACAAGAACAAAGAAGAAATCAGGAGATTACAGGATTCAGCCCAGGGTAGATTTTGAGAACGTTCAGTCATTTAGATCAGTCAAAGAAGGAAAATGTAAATCATGGTTTCTATAAATTCTTTATGACTTGCTGATTTGTTCAAACGTGGCTACACATATCGCTGAGGGGCTTCTTGATTTTGATTATATATTGTGATGATTTTAATGCGCTTTTTATTTGGCCATTACATGTCCTGAAGTCTGTGTCACAATTTCTTGCTGTGACATCTGAGTATAAGAGTGTTGACAAAAATGCTTTTATATTGTTTTTCCTTGGTGCTCATTTAGTGAATAACAGTGAGGAAAATAAGCCTTGATTGATTGTACTGTATTTTGTTGCATACTTTAGTATTAATCATAATGGCTGTTTGGTTGAAATGTTGGTTATAAAAATCACTAAATAAACATTTTAAGCCATTTATCAGCAAATACATAAATACGTGTACATTATAAAATAAAAAAATAAAAACATATATAGTCTATTGAGAACATTACAGTAAACATTTATCATTTGTTTTTTTTCTCTCTAAATTTTAAATTAAAGGCAGTACTATCCCTAGTCCCACTGTATGCACATTCATCCAATGGAAAAACTTTGTAAAGATAACCATAATCATATTTCCATAATCATAGTTTGTGCCGAATAACTGATAATCACTGAGGTTATTGACACGGAATCCTCAATATTTACATCATTTCCAGATAAATGTCTGTTTCAGCAAAACCAAACATTCAGTTTCACAGTTCAGACACTTCCTGTTTGCCTTTAATTACCTTGAGCAGACCTTTGGCCGTGCGTCTGCCACCGTTACTCAGACCTGACATGTTAATGCCTTCACTTTAAAATGTCAGTGTGCTTTAGAGGCGCTCGTGGAGGAGGGAGGAGAGCAGGGATGCAGCACTGACCCTCTGAGCTCAGGAAACATGTCCACAGCGGGCCGGGTTAAGGGCTGTCATGGTTTGTTTGGAGTCCGAGGGGTCAGAGGAGGACAGGTCCGTCATTTTTCCTCTGGAGGAGGAAATGCCTGTCACGTCACCTGGGTCTTTCTCATGGCCCTCTCAGCGGGGTCAAGCGTCTCTCTGTGCGAAACGCAGGGGCCGGAGAGTGCAAGAGAGATCACTGCAGACCCCTGGAGCCTAGTATGCGTGTTTGCTTATTCATGTCTGTGTTTTGTCAGTGATTGTGCGAGTATGTTTGAGAAAGTGAAATTGCAGGATGATTTTATTGTAAGTGTTGGCTTGAGGTTAGCGTTATCCAGAGCAACACATTTAAACGTCCAGATTTGGCCATGCTTTCTGACCTACTTAACTGCTCAGAGGTCAGTGTAAGCGATCCTCACTCTGCGCTGCTTTCTTCTGGCAATGAGCGTGAGAAATGTGTTTATTTGCTTCCACATGGACCACACACACTGTTTACGAACCCACGGGAAGAAAATCACAAATGTGATGAGTTTATAAGCTTAATCATAATGACCTCAGTGTGATTTCAAAAAAATTCTCATCAAAAACACATTATATGAGAGTTATTTTATTCACTTTGTATTTTATATAATATATATTTCTATTATTATTTTAGCATATATTACTATTTATAAAATATTACTATTATTTTAGCATATATTTATTCATGAGACTTAATAATAATTTTTATTTTGATAATATATTATGTATATAAATTAATATTATTATTATATGATTAAAATATAAGATAAGAATCATTATTAAAATATATTATTTTTAAAACTACCACTAGTACATCATTTATAATTGTATTTAATAATATAATTTATAATATGACAATATAAAAATTATATACAGTAATATTAATATTATAAATATTAATATTAATGTTTAAATGACATTTCAATTAAATGATTTATTTTTATACCTTAATGTCTATACATGATTATATTATTTAAATATATATTATTTTAAATATGCACAAACAATTTTAGGAATTTTATGAGGAAAAATATGAGACAAAGTTGATGCACAAAGTGCACACAATCACACATGAATACACGGAAACAACTGGTAATTGTTCCATCCATCGATAATTCAATCCATCCCTCGTTCCTCCTGCTCTCTGATCTGATACTGGAGATGTGAGGTGTGCAGGCCAATGAATAAGATGACAGGCATGGTGGGCTAAAAAGGTTCATTAGGCTCTCTAAACACGGGAGACCATTTGTCTAGTTGTCGAGGACGAAAAATGTGTGGAAAACGGCTGTGTTTGTGTAGGTGTAGGTGTGTGTGTGTTTGCTTGCGTATGTGTTATCATCTCATGTGGCAGAGTCTCTTCTTTTCCTCTTTAGCGATTTTCAACTCACTCTCTCACACACACATGCTCTCTTTCTCCCCCCATGGGAATAACACAGCTCGATATATTCAGGCCTTTTACATGACTATACTGAAATTTACTGTTACACATGCAGTATGAATGTACAGAACTTTACCTTTCAGCTAAATACACACATTGCACAGAACCTAAAAGAGTCATAGGTTACGGTTACAAAAGTGGTACTTAGTGAACAAAGTAAATCTGGCAAAAACATATCCACATGACATT